TCCAGGTGTCCACAGATGGGTCCACCCCACCCAAGTCCATGACCGTGGCCGGGAGCATCTCCCAGCAGCTCCAAGGCCATGGATCCACGTTTGAAGGCATCTCCCAGGCATCCATGGATGAGGACATCCCACCCCAGGCTGTTCCCATGGACCAAAGCTTTGAGTTCCTCTTTGGGAGCATCTCCCACATGTCCATGGGTGGGGACATCTCCTCATGGACTGTGACCAGGGATGGGGACATCTCCCCCAGACCTGTGACCATGGATGGTCCCACCACGGATGGTCCCACCATGGATGGTCCCATCTCCCCCAAGCCCCAAGTCCCCAGACTCAGCCAGGAGGAAGAAGAAGGTGACGGCAACGATGGCGACCACCAGGCCAGTGATGACCGTGATGACCACCGTGACCACCATGATCTAAGTGACCACCATGACCATGGTGACCACAATGACCTCAATGACCACCTTGATCTCAATGACATCAATGACCACCATGACCATACTGACCACCATGACCATGGTGACCACAATGACCTCAATGACCACCCTGACCTCAATGACATCAATGACCTCAATGACCACCATGACCTAGATGACCTCGATGACCACAATGACCACCATGACCATGATGACCGCAATGACCTCAATGACCAAAATGACCTTGATGACCTCAATGACCACCATGACCTCAATGACGTTGATGACCACAATGCCCTAGATGACCACAATGACCACCATGACCACCGTGACCATGATGACCACCATGACCGTGATGTCCATGGTGGCTTCTCCCATGAGAATGAAGAGGAGGAGACCCTGGATAAGGAGAACCTGGATGAGAAGAACCTGGGTGAGAACCTGGAGGAGAACCTGGGTGAGAACCTGGGTGAGAAGAACCTGGAGGAGAATCTGGGTGAGAACCTGGGTGAGAACCTGGGTGAGAACCTGGAGGAGAACCTGGGTGAGAACCTGGGTGAGGAGAACCTGGGTGAGAACCTGGATAAGGAGAACGTGCAGGAGAACCTGGGTGAGAACGTGGGTGAGAAGAACCTGGAGGAGAATCTGGGTGAGAACCTGGGTGAGAACCTGGGTGAGAAGAACCTGGGTGAGAACCTGGATAAGGACAACCTGGATAAGGAGAACCTGGGTGAGAACCTGGGTGAGAAGAACCTGGGTGAGAAGAACCTGGGTGAGAACCTGGATGAGAAGAACCTGGGTGAGAACCTGGATAAGGAGAACGTGGAGGAGAACCTGGGTGAGAACCTGGGTGAGAACCTGGATAAGGAGAACGTGGAGGAGAACCTGGGTGAGAACCTGGATGACGAAGACCAGGATGACGAAGACCATGATGATGAAGATGAAGATGATGATGAAGATGAGGATGATGAAGACCAGGATGATGAAGATGATGAAGATGAGGATGACGAAGCCCAGGAGGAGGACGAGGAGCCCCATTTCCACACCAACCCCCTGTTCCAGCGCCCGCTGCCCCCGGGGGTGCCCCCCTGGCGTCCCCACGGTGCCGCCCTCGGTGCCACCCTCGGTGAGTGGGGTCACCCCAAAATCCTGGGGGGGGGGTCGGGTCCATTTGGGGCCACCCAAAAATTCTGATGGGGACCCCCCCCACCTTGGTGTCTTCTCCTCCAGGACCACCCAGAACTCCAGAATTTGGAGACCCCCCGGATCCACCTCCGGAATTTGGGGACACCCCGAAATCTGGGGACGTTCCAGATCCACCTCCGGAATTTGGGGACCCCCCGGAATTTGGGGACCTCCTGGAATTTGGGGACCTCCCCTTGGTGTCTTCTCCTCCTCCAGGACCACCCAGAACCCCGGAATTTGGGGAGACCCCGGATCCACCTCCGGAATTTGGGGACCTCCTGGAATTTGGGGAC